AGAAAAAAAAGAAACGAATTTAAATGCCAACAAATCTTTGTCCACTTTAAACAAATTTCATCAAAAATAATTTTCTTAAGTGTTTCCTACCTCACAAGTTAAAGTTCGGGTGATTAGTTTATTCAGCTAAATATCTGGTAAGTCCTGTCTAATAAACGTGTGTTTGTTATGTATAATGTACTTACAATTTTCCGCCTATTGGCATACTTTGTTGAAATGTATAAATACTGGACCTTTTATCCAGGATTTCCAACATCGCATATTTCACACGGATGAGCATTTCTTTTTTTTTCTTCTAACAGTCGCTTTGATATTTGCTTCTATTTTGCGTTCACTATAGCTTTTGAATAGAACTGCATTGCTTAACCCTGGTTGTTTAAGGCGTGGCTTGTTTTTGTTCAACAATTTGGCAACCTTGCTGTTGTCGTTCATCAACACATTAAGTATTTGTTTTTGTTGTTAAGCGCAAAGTTATACAATGGGCTTCAAGTTCTGTGCCCACCGCGAGTATTAAAACTGAGCTACCGGGGACACACATCAAGCGTCGGGGATAAAGGCTTAAATATGTGTACAGTACTTATTTATCTCAGTATGGTTGAATTTCCTTTTATGATGTCCCCCCGGTGACTCATTAGTAAGTCTTTCAGATTACGACGGGTTTAGATATCCGTGGTGGGCGAAGCACAGATAGCCCATTATGTAGTTTTGTGCTTAACAACAAACAAAGAAACAAACCTTTTAATATGATACCGTCAAAGGGCTCTATGGTTTCAAATGAATTTAATGGTATAACTGGTAGATATAATCGGTAAAAATTGGAATATTGGTATAATTGGTAAAGATAACGTGAAGGTGATCGGTAAAAAACTGGCATGTTGGTATAACTGGTAAAGATAACAATAAATATCATTAAGGATGATATTCCCCTCAGCGAAAACAAAACTGAAACCAAAAAATTGAGTGCAATGTTTTGTTTCTGGATGATTGTAACTTGCGGCGATTTCTAGGTTACTGATCTCTAATTAAAAAAAAAAAGTAGGTGATAAAAGTTGCAGTTATCTACCAATTTATTATAGCAGTGGTTCTCAGTTTTTCATGTTTTTTTTGTGATCCACCTAAATTTTATTTTTTGATCTCGTCAGGCCACACAGTAAACTTCCTTTCTGTAAATAAGTAACCGGAAGAGAATCTATTGATATCAATGTTGCTACCCCACGTTTCCCGAAGAAATGTTAAATTCTAGTAGTGTAAATCGTGAACAAACGTGTTCCTTGTCAGTAGATAATGTTCGGTGGTGCATTAATATATATATATATAATTAATGAGCTCACTAACAGTTCAATAGGTCATGGTAGGTTTACGAACTTACAACGCCAAAATTTCGGGATTTGATTCTCCACGGTGGACAGAGTGCAGACAGACTATTGTGTAGCTTTGCATTTTACTTTATTTCTGTCCCCGCCCCGCCCTAGGGGCACAGCGGTATGTCTGTGGACTAACAGCGCTAGAAACCTGGTTTCGATACTCGTGGTGGGCAGAGCACAGATAGCTCATTGTGTAGTTTTGTGTTTAATTACAAACAAACAAACTTATTTCCTGGAGCGTGGCCCAGTGGTTAGCTGATCTTTGACCTGCGTCTGGATTTTAAGGCCGTGGGTGCATTGAAGTGTTACTGTCATATCACTATTCCGTCAGGCAAGAGCAGCCCGTTAACTGTCATGTCACTATTTCGTCAGACAAGAGCAGCCCGTTGACTGTCATATCACTATTCCGTCAGACAAGAGCAGCCCGTTGATTGTCATATCACTATTCCGTCAGACAAGAGCAGCCCGTTGACTGTCATATCACTATTCCGTCAGACAAGAGCAGCCCGTTAACTGTCATGTCACTATTTCGTCAGACAAGAGCAGCCCATTAACTGTCATGTCACTATTTCGTCAGACAAGAGCAGCCCGTTGACTGTCATATCACTATTCCGTCAGACAAGAGTCGAGGGTAAGTGTTAGCTGTCAGTTCTAAATTACGGGCGGCTAGCAGCTTGTCGCGAATATCCAAAAACAAAGAAACTTTTCTTCTGTTCCCCACTAAGCTACACGGTGGGCTATCTATGCTGTGTTCATCACAGGTATGGATACCTGGTTTTTACATAAAATTTAAGAACAAAAAAAGACCCATTGGTCTATCTAGGCCATCTCATCTACTATACCAAAGTTTAAAATATAAGTGAAACACTCAGTGACAATCCTCATCATTCAAATATTTATCAAACCTTTCTTTAAATATTGTATCTACCGCATTTGAAGGCAGTCCATTCTAAAGACAGACAGACAGACCACCTTGTTAGAAACATAAAAAATGTCAAATTAACGAAAGATAAATTCCATAGACTCTGGTAGTGACAACAGTGTGAATCTTAAAAAGTTGAGTTTTTTTAAATTTTCATTTTTAGTGTTATGAACCTTACCGCTGAGCTACTAGGGGGCGTTCCCAATAATCTATATTCAAATCATTTTCTAACCGCAGTACTTTTTGTTTGCTAGTTTTCCGTTCATTTTATTACTCATATAACAGATTAAAAAATTCAGCACAAACTTATGCTTTGGTAGAAAGATATTTACTCCCATTAAAAAGAAGAATACCAATAAAATAAACACTTCAGTCATACAGATATCAAAAATGGCCATAAATCATCACATTAAAATTGACATTCAATTTTTATACGTTCATACCGTTGTCGAAAATGTGTTCTTCAAAATTTGTGTTTCATAGGTTTGCGATAATACAAAATAAAGCTATTTCTAAATATTCATTGTGAATATTAAGCGTGTCCTATTGGTTAGCCTAGGTTTATAGTTCGCGATCCGGTGTTGTAGAATCGCACTGCGCACTTAGGGCTGTGAGTACAGTACAAGAGTGTTGGCGGGGGGAGCTGTTGGTTAGCTATCTTCTCTCCAGTATACCAGTTCAAAACTCTTCATGTAGCATACCGTTAAAAACTCATTAATAAACAATGCCCCCCCCCCACCCCATTAGGAGTGGCGTTAAAGAGTGTAAAACTTATGAAGGAAAAATTCTGCAGACTGATAATGACACCATTGTGATTCTTACAAGTTAGGGGTAGGGATGTTGTGAGTTCCATTTCTACATATAAAACATTATAATGAGATATTGTGGGTTATAAACGTTCAGAATGTCGCGAAAAGTTAATGCAAGGATTTTTTGTATATAGTCGTCTCTAATATTAAACTGATAGAATAGAGCACCCACCGCCAACTCTTGGGCTCGTCTTTTTTTGATGAAATGGTGGGGTTTAAACCGTCACTCTTATAACATACACAAGGTCCCGAAGTACGTAACAAGTTTTTGCAACAACGAGTCGCGAACCATGAATCCTCGGATCCATAGTTCGGGCACACTAACTATTAGCCCATAAACAACCCATTACGGAGCATCATAACTGATTATTGGTCTAAATATACATCTATATACATAAGAGTAAAAAAAAAAAGAACAAAGTCATTATTTATATATAGGATATCTAGAAATTGTATTAATAAAAACGCGTTTCAGAGACAAGAGACTTAAACCTCTGCCTCAGTGTAAACTGGTTCCGGACATCGTATATTTAACCTCCAATACATGAAACGACCCGGACATCATGTATTTAAACTACAATACACGAGACGACCCCGAACATTACGTATTTAACCTACAATATACGAAACGACCCGAACATTACGTATTTAACCTATAATACACGAAACGACTCGGACATCACGTATTTAACCTACAATACACGAAACGACCCGGACATCACGTATTTAACCTATAATACACAAAACGACTCGGACAT